AAAAGCGCTCAAAAAGCAAGAAGTTCAATTTTCAGAATTTTTTAAACGAAAATTGTGTAATTAAAAAATTTGAAAGTGCCTGTTTTCTATGGTTTACTAACAGTTTTAACTGTTTTATATCAAATTTTAACATCTACGTAACTTGGATTCTATGGTAACTAAAAAAAAAAACAATTCTCGTCATATGCTTATTACCGTTAAACTGATAAGATTGGTTAAGGCTACAATGCGTAAAGTTGTTTGCAAAGTCGAAATACAGGGCGAACAGTCACAGGCATTTGGAACGCATGTTGGGCTGCGACAGGGAGATGCGCTGGCGTGTCTCCTTTTCAACATAGCTCTGGAAAAGGCGGTTAGGGATGCCCAAATAGACAACAGAGGAAACATTTTTAATAAATCATCCCAAATTTTGGCATATGCAGATGATGTTGACCTAGTTTCCCGCACAACACGCAAACTAGAAGAAATGTATACCATTTTATCAAATGCCTCAAAAAATATGGGCCTGCAAGTAAATGAGGAGAAAACTAAGATAATGGCATCAACACTTAACAATAAAGCCAGACACATTGGCCACCAATTCACTGTTGATAACTCTACCTTTGAAGTGGTGGACAAATTCACATACTTAGGCTTCCTGATCACCAAGGAGAACGCCATGACGGAAGAAATCAAGCGAAGAAAAATCCTAGCAAAGAAATGCTATTTTGGATTGAGTAGACATATGAGAAGCAGAAACTTAAGCCAAAAAACAAAAATAACCACATACAAAACCCTTATACAACCAGTGTTGACATATGGATCTGACACATGGACCATTTCCAAGGCAGATGAAAACCTCCTTCTTATATTTGAATGAAGGATTTTCGGTGGCATCTGTGAAAATGGTGTTTGGAGAAGGAGGTACAACTACGAGGTATACCACAGATATAAACAAATATTTGGTGGTAAAGACGTAGTATCTCTCATAAAAATAGGAAGACTAAGATGGGCAGGACATCTGGCAAGATCACCGCAGAACAACCCTCCTAGAAGAATCCTTATGTCACAACCTGTGGAAAGTAGAAGTAGGGGTAGGCCAAAACTCAGATGAAGGGATGGTGTAGATGAGGATGGTAGAAAAATAGGCGCAGTAAACTGGCAACAGTTGGCAATGGATAGAACTGACTGGCGTAATAGGCTTGGGAAGGTCGAGGCTCTTTTATAGGACTGTAGCACCAATGATAATGATGATATTTATTACCGTGAACATTGTTTTAGATCCTTACTATAACTAGATCATTCACATATAACTGATAGATGAACAAATGTAGTTAATCTTTGCGAAATGTTTGCTATAACAAAGTGGAATAAACTTTTTACTTTTTCTTTGACATTGATAAATAGCCTCACTTAATAGGTTCTGTTATCTGTATGCATAATAAATCTATATTGAGTTGTTGAATCTTTATTAGATTTCTAAGTTGACTCAAACAGTCACTAGTTAAATCGGTATTAAATCTAATTAAATCGGTATAAACTAAGCTTTGTTTGACTACTAGAAGTAATATGGTTGTGAAATGGAGAGCAGCACACCAAAACAGGAGAGATACTATTATACAGTGACAAAGACAATGACAGTCACGAGAGCGGCGTGGGTCTTCAACTCAGCAAACGTGCCAAAAAAAGCCTCAGTTTATAAAAACCAATAAATGATAGAATTATAACTGTCAGATTTTTTACCAGAGACCGTAAGGTAACAGTGATTCAGTGCTATGCTCCTTCAAATACATCTTCACAAAGAGATAAAGACATTTTCTACGAAGAAATAGTACAAATGATCCAGCAAATTAACCAAAGCGATATACTTGTATTAATGGGCGGTATGAATGCTGAATTAAGAGAAGAGAACACTAATTTAAAAATCGTAATAGGCAAAATGACCTAGGAGTAATAAATCTAATCGGAACTTAACAAACTTTCATTCCAACCATAGTTTAGTTATTGGTGGAACCATCTTCCCACCTAAAAATATCCACAAGGTTACATGGACTGCACCTGGTCATACCGGAGAAAATAACATCGCTATCAAAAGGATGGAGATGGCAAAAACAACATTACGTGAAATATCAATAGACCAAGATACAGTTTAGAGAATCTAAAAACGTCCAAAGGAAGACACTCAGGAAGAGCAGCTAAGGAAAAATTGGGCAAAAAATAAAAAGTTGGAAAAGAATAGATATCAGATGAAACTTGTAGCATTTTAAAACTCCTTGGTACATATTAAAATCCCCTCGTATATGTATTAGAACTTCTTCTTCTTAGGGTGCCTGTCCGTTCCGAACGTTGACGATCATTCTGGCTATGATGACTTTATGGTTGCTATACGAAATAGCTGTGTTGAGGTCTTTCTATACCATGCTCTCAGGTTATCAAGCCAGGATATTCTTCTTCGTCCTGGGGCCCTTTTCCCTTTAATTTTACCTTCACCAAGTTGACCAAATCCACACTTGTGGATTCTCCGCAGTACTTCTTCATTGGTGACTTTGTCTGTTCATGGTATCTTCAAGATCCTTCTGTATGACTATTAAATGTATTAGAACACCGAATAATAATTTCAGTGTTTTTCAGTTTTTTATCGTACAAGTTAAAACACTCAAAAGTGTTTTCATTCTTTTTACGTCGCTACAAGATTTTTCCGGAAAGATAATTACATCACTCTCTCAGGAGCTACTGTCAAAGGCAATTGGTGGTCGGGTTAGTCCGAATTTTCTTCAGATTTGTAAATATTTTTTTATTGTTTTCTTTGTCATGGAAAATAAATAGTTTTGTGGCAGTTAATGGTTACAGTTAAAGTGAGGTTTTGAAATATATCCACATGTTCCATTTCCTGTTTTATAAGAAAAAGCCAAGCCGTGTAGAGCCACTTCAACCTCCCTGTTGTTTGTCTCTGCTCGTCGTTCCAGACCATAGATGCAGTCCTTTTGTTCGTATGTCAGAGATTCCCGGTCCAGTTCGTACCCCAGAAATTTTAGTAAGTCCAGTTTACAACTTAAGTTCATTTTAGTAAAATCGAGGTAAGTTGTATATAAATATCGTCTTCTGCAATGCATCTATCTTTAATTGCTCACTCATGTTTTTGTGCAAAAAAATTAGTAGAGGAGGTACAAAAGAAACAGCAGCGTTCATACTGCAGACAATGGTTTCAAGAGCTCCTCTTTCTCCTGAAGTCAAAGTACTTACTTGTTTTTCCCCATATTGGATGGTGTGCTTTCCACATATTGTGAACTTTATATTATATCACAGTGATTTCGGATTCAGCAGCACTTCAGCTTTAAAAATCCTACACTGTAAGCATTTTTATCCTTACCATTTTACACGTGTGCAAAATCAAGTGTCAGCAAATTTTCCTTTAAAATGCGGATTTGCAAATGATGTCCGAAATAGGTAAAATCTTGACCACTCCTTCGTCGATAGAAATTTTTATGAAAAAAAGCTAAATTTACACACCATGGTCTTTTATCAAATTGTCATCAAACTTAAGGCGAAATGTGTGGTTTATGCAAGATGGTACACCACCACATTATAGAGAGGGGGTAGTGAGAACATACTTAAATACAACTTTCTTGAACGTTGGATTGGTCGTGGTAGTCATATTCCTTGGTCATGTGGTGAGATATTGATATAATTATTTAATTTATAAAATATCCCAAAAGGATACTTATTATTATACTTAAAAAACTTTTAATAAATACTGCAGCAGTTTCTTTAGAATTAATGAGGCTATTTAATATGAGACGATCTTTTATGGGATTTATTGACAAATGAAATAAAGAAAATAGTAGACATATCGAACACAACAAAATAGTGAATTATCGTATTATTAATTATCCTGCTTATATCTTTATTTTATTTAATATTTCGGTAACTGTATACTTAATTTAAAGGTATTTCATACCAAAATTCAAAAGTATTGATGTCTTTGCTCATTTTTCCTTCGTTGCCTGGAGTAATTGTATTAAATCAGAATTATGCAGCTAATTTATAAAATGCGATTATCTCGAAAACTGTTTTAGAGTTAGAGTGTGTTTTAAAGTTATTAAAAAGTATAACTTTCTTGTTAAAATAATGTATCTTTAATTTTTTATTACCGGTAACTGAAAGAGTAAAAAAGTTAAGTGCAAATATATATCACATTTGTAGCATATGTGGCTCCCTTTATCAGCTAGATTAAAGTTTGCATTAAATTATAATTCCCCATATTTAAAATTACCCAGTTTTTATACATAAATGGTCACAAAGTGCAGAATCTACGGTTTGTTTTTGTACAATTACTTAGGGACCACCTGTATATATACATATCTAATTTAGGCTTCCTCATTTTGACTATTTTTTTACTTTGCTTATTTAGAATTTTTAGATTACTAGCTATTTTCTTGTCTATAAATTTTTATTAGCATCCTCATCACATAAATTTGTAGGTGTTATTTTTCCTTCTTTTGCATTATTCTCACTTGAGCACCAGATATTGTCTCAGATCTTCGTGCAGTTTTTTACATCGCTTATCACTGATCTTATCACTGTTCAATAGTGTTTAAAACTTTTGACAATGTCTTTAGTAATATAAAATAACACAAATTATTTTCAATTATATTTTAAAGACGGCACTGCGCCTATTGTTTTATTTCAGAACAATTTTCTCATCCAGTTCATGACCTTTTCATAGAGAGAATGCCTTAAGCATGAGTTTATAATACCTTTATGCAAGATTTGATAACCATCTCTATATAACCGAAAAACCATTGAAAAATTTAGACGTGCTTCAGGTTAAATCTTTATGTCTAAATTATTTTTGCAAATTACGTTGTGTAATTTATTAACAAGGTGATATGGTTTTATAGAAGATTAAGATAAATTATAATAACCGTGAGATTCTTAGATCCTAGCTCATAAATTCCATTGAGGTTTTGATTTTTATGTTAAAACAAAAATATTTTATTAATTAATTTATTTACCCTGCAATGGGTTTCTATACAGAGGTTAAAGAAAAAAGCAGCGAAAAGGAAAAAACTGAGCTGAAGTACATGTCAAATAAGACACAACAATCGTACGAAGATTACAAGAGAGTAAGAATTAAATCACATGCATTTGCAAACGGAATTAAAAACGAGCACTAGAAACGCTTTTCAAGATCCACACAATAACCCCCGAATGAACAAGCAAAGTTGCTTTATGTAACGAAAAAAGATGATGACATTCGAAGTCGTGGGGGCTGTTATACTAATTTTATAAATTCAAAATCAATTTTTAAATCGAGGTAGTGATGCTCATCATAAGGTTAAAACTAGCAAAAATTAAGAGAACAAATACAAATACCAGCACACCTATAAATACAAGAGAACTGATGAGAGACGAAAATCTGAAGAAGAGTTATGCGAATCAAATTAATGAAAGAGTGCGAGTAATAGAACAAAATGATGATATCGAAGAGATGGTCAATGATATTAAAAGAACGATTCTGGCAGTAAACAGGGAAGTTAAAACACAGATCAGAAAGAGAAAGCATAACGAATGGATGACGGACGAAATTATAGATCTAATGGAAAAGCCAAGGCAACATAAACAACAACGTAATCAAGACAAATACAAACAGATACACAAATAAATCCGTCGGAAAATTAAGAAAGCAAAAGAACGTTGGATGGTGGAAAGGTGCAACGAAATAGAACAATTGCAGAAAAAAGGAGATAGTTTTGCACTACATAAGAAGATCAAAGAAATATCGAATATACACAAAAGCCACCACAGAACAAGAATACGCAACGACAGAAACGAATACATAGAGTCAGAAGAGGAGATCGCAATGGCGTGGAAAGAATACGCAGAAAGCCTTTTTAATGACGAAAGACCAACACAACCAACGCGCAAACTTCCTTCCGAAAACTTATCAGGGCCATCAATAATGCGAAGTGAAATAGAATATGCAGTTAGAACCACAAAGATGCATAAAGTAACAGGTCCAGATGAAATTAATATAGAAGCAATAAAACTACTAGACGATGAGAATATCGAAATCTTGGTAAGGCTGTTCAATGGAATTTATGATACTGGTTACATTCCGCGAGAATGGCTGCAGTCATCCTTTGTGATGATCCCAAAAACAGCTAATGCCACAAAATGCAATGAACACCGCTTAATCAGTTTAATGAGTCACTTGTTGAAACTCTTCCTTAGGATATTACACCTAAGAATGTACAATATACTAGAAGAACTTAGCGGGTCAACACAATTCGGTTTTAAGGGAGGACTAGGAACAAGAGAGGCAATTTTATGTTTGAACACCTTAGTACAAAACTGCTTAGATCAACGAAAAGATGTCTATCTCACCTTCATCGACTACGAGAAGGCATTTGACAATGTTAAACATTATATCATGATGGAACTACTACATAGGGCCAACATTGACCAGAAGGAGATCAGAATCTATACTGAAACCAAATGGCAAAGGTGAGGATTGATCAAGACCAATATACGGATGAATTTGAAATCCGGAAAGGTGTCCGCCAAGGCTGCATACTCTCTCCGATACTTTTTAATTTATATGTTGAAAATATATTTGCGGAAGCATTAGAAGATACGGAATTAGGCATTAAGGTGAACGGCATACCAATTAGCACCCTACGCTATGCGGACGACACAGTGATTATAACTGACAATTTGGAAGATCAGCAGTTATTACTTGATAGGGTGAATAGCATAGGTAAAAAATATGGCATCAAAATCAACATTTTGAAAACGAAATATATGGTCATTAGCAGAAACCCTCCAGAAAACCCGATAATATGCATAGGTGACAATCGTATAAAACGCGTGAAAACTTTTAAATACCTTGGCACTACAATCAATGACTAATTTGATCCACAACACGAGATAAAAACCCGAATACAAATGGCAAGACAAGGTTTTATGAAATTCAGACCGCTCCTATGTAATCAACACCTAAACTTCGAAATACGCTACAGAATGGTTAAGTGCTACATATGGTCCATCTTGCTTTATGGCATGGAAACGTGGACTTTGAAAAAAATATCTATCAACAAACTTGAAGCATTTGAAATATGGTCATTGAGAAGAATGATGCGCATACCTTGGGTGGATAGAGTTCGAAACGATGACGTCCTTAATAGAGCCGGCGTGGAAAGAGAACTCTTTGAATTAATTAAAAAACGCAAGATTTGTTACCTTGGGCACATATTGAGAGGAGCAAAATATGAAATACCACAGTTAATCCTACAAGGGAAGATCGAAGGTAGGAGAAGAGCCGGCCGCAAACAATTAACCTGGTTAAGAAATATTAAAGAATGGACAGGAATACACAATACAGGTGAGCTGTGTCACGCCGCCAAGAACAGAATTCTAGTAATGAGATAGTCGCCTACGCACTTTGGTGTATGGCATGTTAAGAAGAAGAAGATTTCTCACCCGTCGATGTACACTCTACAATTATTAATGTAGAACTACCTGATCATGCAGCAGAATATAGCAAGTAACAATCTTAACAAACAATCATTGAAAACCCAACGTTTTGAGTAGGATTTTTTCCTCTCAGAACTTTCGTAAATTTCAAAATTTGTGCTTGACTTCTGGGTGATTTTTTAGATAGGCTTGTCTGTATTTTTAATAAGGCATTTTTTAATTACAATATTAAGTCAAAACATCACAAACCCTGGACTAATAAAGGTATCCACATATCAGCCAAGAACATGCGTTCATTACTGTACATCAAGAAATGTATTACTAACGTCTTTGTCCAAGTGAATTCAGTGTGCACTGAATATATTTCTAAGTACAGAGGAACCTATTTAAAGCTTATCAAAATAGCTTAAAAATGTACAGAATTAGAATTGTCGAGTAATCTCTAAAAATGTTGCTAGAGAAATTAGGTCCATAATAAACGATCTTTGAAATTAAACTAACACAGCTTATACATTTTCTCTTTTAAACCCTGAAAATCTAAACAAATACTTAGTTAATGTGAGTAAAAATATCAACTATTTTGCTACAACAACATCCTATTTCCTATCTCTCCTAGTCTCCTATCAGTTGATAAATCTGAACTGATTCAAACAATGCGTAAAAATTGGAGGTATTGGATATGAGGCTATATAGGCGGGTTCTTAAAATGCTAAGACTGCAAAAATATCAAACGAACAAGTGTTAACAACACAATTAAAACAGGAAAAACATAGTATCTGGGCCACATACTTCAAAACGTTAAATATTTTCTGCTACACATCATGCAAGGAAGAGCACAGGAAAGAAAAGGCTTTGGAAAAAAAGAAGAAATCTTGGCTGAGGAATATCAGAGATTGGACTAACCACAATGTTTAACAGATATTTTATGCTACAAAATATAGGGAAGCGTTTAAGGAAGTAATCGTCAACAATTATCTATAAAGACGATTAGAATCGGTCTTAAAAACCTAATCATTAATAAGATGTCTCTATACTTTTAGCTGATAACTCAGTGATGGTTTCTTTAGCTTTCGTAGTTCTTAGTATACTAACTGAAACTGTTAACAGGAGGTCCCCTTTTTTGACACCTGATTTACTTTATACTTCTGAGATCTACAGGATCCTTGTCATAGATCCATGCAGAGTCATCTAAGTAAGTGTATTGTTTTCCTGAGATACATAGGTGTTTCTGGTTTTATTTAGTTCGTACATCATTACACTGTTTTATAATTTTTTTCAATGAGCAAATATCACCAGAAATATGACCCTTACATAAAAACTGCTGTTGTTTAATGTTAATTTAAACAGATTAAGTAAAGTTTGCTGCAGAGTCTTCTGAAAATTATTTTGTAGTTCATGTTACATTAAATACAATGTTGCGATATTTTGTTATCTTAATCTCTAGAGTACATTTTATAAATACACTTGCTTCACTCCCATGTAATTATTACCCACATAAATATTTTCAATAATTCTAAAACAATACTCCTCCTCTCGTTTTTATATTAAAGTTATTGCACGTTTTATACCTATCACGTGCATATCATAAATATTTCACATTGTTATTATTTGTTTGCTTAAGTCATTAATTTGCCTAAAAAAATTTCGAAACATTTTTGACTAAAAATATTCCCATTCACATTGTTTAGAAATCGTGATCACTTAATAAATAATAATGAACTTCTTATCTGGACCCTAATCGAAATTGAGTACAGTTATTAACAATATGGTATAGGAGGTTGCTACTTTTAAGAACGACAAGTGAAAATAAATATTTATTATTGAAGATTTTATGTTAAAATTTTCTATATAAACCTAACCTAACTTGGCTGCATCGTACTGATGATAAAAATATATACCAAGAAAAGATACCAGGCAGGTATTCTTGTCACTCCATCTTTTGCGCAGTCGTCCGATACTTCTTCTACCGATTGGTGACTTATGTCTTGCTATTTTGACAACACGGGTCTTCCCCATTCTACTTATGTGGTTATTCCATTCTTTTTTCTACTTATTTTTCCTGTTATTCTTCTCAGTACTCTCATCTCTGCCGTTTTCAGTAGCCTTTGTGTTGTGGCTGTGTCGGGTCTTGTTTCTAATGCATATATTATTGGTCTTACACTGGCTTTAGTTCTTTAATTCTTGACTTTCATCATCACAGTCATTAACATCTTAGTAGATGTGTTGTGGTTCATAATTGGGCTTCAGCAGCTCGGACAGTTTGATTGATAATATTTCTCAACTGGTCGCGGTCATCAGTTATATGTATTGCCTCAGTATACTGTTTATTGAGAAGCTTTTTAGTAATGTCCGCCCATCGCTGTGGAGATCTTCCGCGTTGGCGTTGAGTCTGAGGCCTTCCTTGGACCACCAACCGCTCCATTTTGTGATCACTTCGATGGATATGGCCAAAGAACTTTAAAATTCTAGAGTAAACGGTACTGGAGAGACGTTGATCCGGTTTAATTTCATCTAGAACCGAGATATTTGTACGGCGAGCCGTCCATGGAATTCGAAGCAGGCGTCTCCATGTCCACATTTCAAAGGCGTCTATACGTCTTTAGTCATAGTAAAATATGGAAAAGACCAGAGTTGAAACGAGTCTCTTTTTGTTTGTCATAGTAATGTGACGATCACGCCAGACCCCGTTTAGTTCACTCATTGCTGCTCTTGCTAGTTGAATGCGTCTTCTAATTTCGGATTCACAACTGCTTGTGTTGTTAACTAGAGCTCCAAGATATATCATAGATGAGACTACCTCGCATCCCGCAATAGTTTGGGTTTCAGGAAACTGTTGTTGGCGATCAATAACCATGATTTTGGTTTTGTTGTAGTTAACCATGAGTCCAAATTTAGCACTTTCTACCTCGAGTTTTTTTAATAATCTAGTAATTTCTTCTGGAGTAGAGGCTAGAAGTGTAGTGTCGTCTGCGAAACGCAAGTTAGATATCTTAACACCACCCAGGTTTACTCCTCCCTCCCAACCATCCAAAACTCTGCGCATTATGAACTCCGAATAGATGTTAAATAATAAGGGAGATAAAACGCATCCTTGGCGTACTCCCTTCTCCAAAGTGCATTTGTCAGACAGATATCCGTCCATTCGAATATATGCCAGGTTATCTTGATACAGTTTGCTAATAAGGTGAGTCAAGTGTTTAGGTACACCCATTGTCGTCAATATGTTCCATAGTTTGTCCCATCTAACATTATCAAAGGCCTTTGTATAATCGACGAAACATATAAATATCGGGATCTGGTATTCTCTGGCTTTTTCTATGATGTTTCGTACATTAAGGATTTGTTCTCTAGTACCTCTGCCCTTTACAAATCCAGCCTGCTCGGGTGCTATTTGCCAACTTATGAAGTTTTCTAGACGCCGTTGCAGTATGTAGAGGATCACCTTACTGGCGTGTGATATTAGAGCTAATAGCCTGTAGTTGTTACAATTATTTGTTGAACCTTTCTTATGAAGAGGTATGATTATGGTCTTTCTCCAATCCTCAGGCCAGACGCCTGTGTGCCATATTTCATTGCACAATCGATGTAATATTTTCACTCCACATTCCGGAAGATGCTTCAAGACGTCTGCAGTAATGAGATCATATCCTGCTGCTTTGTTTAACTTAAGTCTTTTTAAAGCGAATTCCACCTCGGAAAAAAGTATGTCAGGTTCAGACTCAAAACTAGTGTGGTGTGTCTCTGTTGAAGGAGAATGGAAAGTGGAGGTCTGGCAGTCAGGTACAAACGGGGCGTCCGCTGGCATCTGGTCCGTATTGGCGTATAAAGACTTACAATACGCCCTCCAAACATCAATAACCTTGTCCAAATCCGTCTGTACATTACCTTCATCATCTTTGATAGACCAAGATTTCTGCTTGAATTTACGTGTGAGTTGACTTGATCTCGGTGTAAATATATCTGTTTCGCCATAGAGTTTTATTAAGGTATCCTGATAGCAAATTCGCTTTTTGTACTAGATCCCTTACTTCTTTGTTCAGTCCTTCATAGCTGGACAGTGTAATTTCAAGGTATTTTTTTTCATTACTTATTCAATACTGTTGCCATCAATTTCTATTTTAAATCTGGTTAGCTCTTTATTAATTAAAAATGGTTCTAGTTTTCTGAAATGAGGTTATCGGATTAAATTATTTGCTCTTATGTTAAATTTGTGGACCAGTTTTTATAGATTATCTTTATCTTAGGCTATCAGTATGTTATATAGCTTAACATAGATATTATGATCTTCTTCTTTGTGTGTCGTGCTTGTATTCAAGCGTTGGCTATCATCATATTTACAAGCTGATCCACGGGATTCTGAGCATGCGACGGTAACACCATAACTCAAACGCTTCTAATTTGTTAATTTTTTTTATTTTTGTTGTCCAGGTTTCACATCCATAGAACAAAGTGGACCAGACGTAGCACTTCAATACTCTTAGATGTGTGGTCAACGACAGACTTCTACTGCATAATACAGAACGCCAGTTAATAAAGTTTTTCCGTGCGAGTTCTATTCTGGTCGAAATTTCTTCGTCACTTTCAACCCTGCAGTTAATCCAGCTACCCAGATATCTAAAATGTTCCACCCTTTTCAGGATTTTGTTATCTCATCTTAGTACGGAGTCTTCGATATTAATTTTTCCGACCACCATCCATTTTGTTTTTTTTTTTATGTTGATTGTTAAGCCGTTTTCAGTGCATTCGTTGTTTACAGCATTCAACAGGGTTTGAAGATCTTCTAGACTCTCTGCCATTATTGCGGTGTCATCGGCGTATCTGATGTTATTAATAATTTCACCACCGATCTTAACGCCTTCGCGGCGATTATTTAACGCTATTTCAAAAACTTGTTCAGTGTTGTAGGCATTAAACAATATCGGTGACATAACACATCCCTGTCTGACACCACGCTTAATAGAAACTTTAGCTGAAACCTCTTGGTCCACCTTAACACAAGCGGTCTAATTGTAGTAAATATTTTTGAGCAATCTAATGTCATACGTGTCCAGACCAACTGAGTCTAAGCATTGAAATAATAATGTATGTGGTACTCTATCAAAGGTGTTTTCGAAATCTATAAAACATACGTAAATATTTTTCCTGGATGTTATGATATATAACTATAATTAACCAACATAATATATTTAAAATAATTTACTACATTTATACCTAAGGTCTTCACCAATGGTTCGCCTTATAAACTGATAAACTTTACTGAGGTGATTAAGTTCACCGTACGAATTTAAACTGCCACTTATCGTACTACCGTCGAGAAAAAGGACCTTGTAAGGGTCTTGTTTTATTTCCATATGCATCCAAGCTCCAATTTCCATAGAATTACGGATATTTCTTATATGGGTATATTCAGGGATTCTACAGTATTCACTTTCTTACCTCGCTCAAGCGTTTCCATCTCTCTCTGTTATCCCATTCTCCATCGTTTAGGCCTTTCTTACTCATGGCGTCGTTTACTTCGTTCCTTCAGGATCTACGGGGTCGTCCTCTTTTCCTCCTTCCAATGGGGCTCCATTCTGTTATTCTCTTTATCCATCTGCTGTCGCTAGTTCTTCATACATGTCCATACCACTTTAGTCTTTTTTGTTCTATATAGGTTAGTATGTCTGTTTCTATCGAAGTTCTTTACTTTATTTCGTCATTACTTCTCCTATCCATTCTTGTTACTCTGCAGCATCTTCGCAGGCATTCCATCTCTGTTGCTACTACCTTACCGCTGTTTCTTGTTTATTATCCAATTTTCAGCCCCATATGTCATAATACTTCACACTAATGTTTTATAAATCTGTGTTTTTGTCTTCATATTTAGGTGTCTATCCCACCATACTGAGTTAAGTTGTCGGATTGCTGTTCTTGTTTGTCCTAATCTTTATGTAATTTGTCCCTCTGTTGTTGCCTTTTTCGTGATTATAAACCCCAAATATTTGAATTTGTCCTTTCCTTTAATTGTTATGTTACTGCAAAGCTTAACGTATATAGGTATTCGTTCCGTACCGGAACGCCCATACCCTCGCATTTTCTTTTCCATGTAGTCAAGGCTTTCTTTAAGTATATTTTGAATTGGGTTGGAGTTGTGGAACAACCCTGCAGGAGCCCTTTATTTGTGTTGAAGTCTCGTCTCCTATGATTCTTGTTCCCACTTTAATGGACACTTTATTATTTTCTTTATACAGAGCTTTTCTAGCTTCTATGAGTTCCGTCTATATTTTTAATTTGTATATTTCCTCCCATAGCTCTGACCTTGGTACAGAGTCATACGCCTTTCTCAGGTCCATAAATGCTAAATTTATATCTCTATTTTTTGCTTTTTTCTTTTCCAACAGTTGTTCCGGTGTGTATATGTGGTCTATGCATGATCTTCCTGCCGTGAAACCTGTCTGATCCTCCCCGATTTTGCCTTTTATTACTTAATCTATCTTTTTTCGCAGTATCTTCCCATACAATCTTCCAATTGATGACATTACGCTGATTACTCTGTAGTTTTCGTTGATATTTCTTCTGTGTAGAATATGTGTCTTAATTTCATTCTTTGGGAAGATATGATTTCCTTTATTACAGTCGAATATAAGTAAACCGAGTATGCAGAAGCAAGCTACGGCCCGAATAGATGGGTGCCGCAGAGTAAAGGCCCGGCAAATATTAAAGACAGCCAAGACCCAGCACGGGTAGAGAATAGGTACCGCGAATTGAACCCACCCTATGTCTTGCCCATGCGCACGCAGATCCCAAGTGGGAATGTTTGTAAGTAGAGCACAGTTCCATAGTTCTCTCAGCACATGGGCAAAGAGGTTTCAATATTATGCATTAACAAGTAGATGGTTGTTGGAGAATTGAAGGATAGTTTGTAGAAGAAAATTGGCAAAGAATTTAATGCGGGTGGTGATTTCTTTGTTTTGCTTTTGTCAAAGAGTATTACAAATACGATTTCATTTTCTTTGTATTAAAAATCTAATAACAACTTATTGTCCTGAGTTGAAGTCATCACGCCAAATGCAACTGCCTGCATGGTTGGCACATATTCTCGGCCTGTGCTGGGTATCGACTGGGTTTAATATGCACCAGGCCTAAGATTCAATAGGAGACCGAGTGGATGGAACTCCCGCTATGAGAGCCCGTGTTCAACCACGACACAGTGAAAGGTGATGTGACTACAGATCTGACAACAAATACCGATGACGTAAAATCTCCCATATTCCTAGCTGAGCTTATTTTGTTTTCTTCAAGAGATCTCGCTATAATTATTGCTAAGCGGGGTACTCAATCTACTGTTGAATAATGATGGGTTGGAATAATTTTCTTTTGGTCAAGCACATAACGTATGGTCCTTAAGTTTTGGGAAAAATTTCACCTGGTCTGATTGAGAAGCAAAATGCATTTAACAAAGAAGGCCATGGAATTGAAATGTCATCAGTTATTGACATTTAATAAACAAAGCACAATATTTTGGTTTGTGGTCTGCAAAATGTCTTATAAAATTGATATTCGTCGAGGTGTTTATAATATGGTTGGACGAATGTCGAAACGAGATATTGTTAATATTTATCGAGATCAAAACATAAGCAAATCGACAATTTATTGCACAATCAGAGAATGTAAAGAAGGGATACCATGTGTTAACTTGAGTAAAAGTGGCCGACCGCGGATTTTGAACCATATTAGAGAAGCAAGACTGATTGAAGCATCTAAGAAGATCCTAAGATAGTCCTAAAGTTTTTCCCAAAACTTTAGGACCATACGTTATTTACTGTTACTGTTTTTCATTTACTGGTTTTATTCTTGTTTTTTTGGAATACATTTCCTTCCACCTATTAGCTCTGACCCCTTTATTTTTTATTTTACATTTACTGAAGTTATAAATTAAATATGACTACTATAATTTTTACTTTAAATCATCTAAAACTTGTACATATACAAACTTACTATTCCTTGCATAATCCTTATTTATAGTTTGATTATCTTTTATTCTTACCTGAAAAAAAAAACAATAGAATTTTATTAATTAAATTTAAGAAATAAATATGTTGGTAATGGAAATATTTACAAAATATAATTATATAAATTTGCAAAACAAAAGTTAGATTTGAAAATGATTTAATCAAAATACCAAATTGAGACTGATAAACAACATCAATACCCAAATTATCATGCGCATCTTTTGCATGAGAACACACTTTTAACATCAATAGAAAGGAGATACAAGCAGCATACAACAGATGTTTAAGAGAAGCTGGAAATGTACCCAGATACGTAGCTGAACGGTTTAAAAATCTGAAACAAGTCAGGTAGTAGAGACAATAGAAGAAAAAAACCAGAATAAAATTCGCTGAGTTTTGAAGACCATCCGATCTGGAATCTGCAAGAAATATTATGATCTGGATAGATGCATATATGAAATTACAAAAGAACAAAACAACAAATGCTACTAAATATCTAATAAAGTCTAGATACTATTGTAGCTCGATCAGAAGAAGACATCACTCTCGAATTGAGGCATCATAATTGAAAAACATTATAAAATAAAAACTCAAAAAATTGTCTCGATCACCAGAAATATTAAAAAGTTACTAACAAAAAGCGCAAGCTTAAAAAAACTAACAAAACCTAGAAAACGGGCCCATAAACTCGAGCGGCCAGTCGCCGAACTGGATCAAGCCCGGAGCAGAGACCAAGTGAAAGCAAATCAATTCGAATACGGGGAGGATTTCATATGGGGATCCTTGTAACCAGGAAACCCATATGGCAGGTATTTTAATGATAGTTGCCTACATAGCGCATCAGCGTGCTATGGAAAGGTGGAGAATAGGCTGGGTAGCATTTGTGCTCAGAGAAGTGGTACCTGATTTACTCACATAAATCCTTCTCAGTGAATTGTATGCCCGAATATCTTGGTGCGAGCATGTAAGTCTCTACAGGTTGGGTTTGAACTAGTATTGTTTATTTGCTTACGTTTTTTTTTACATATGCTGCCAAAATTATAAGCTTAGTTATAAGCTTCACTCCTTACTCAGAGAGAGTGATAATGGTTCAGCTGAAGACAAACATACAAAAAGTTAACTAAATTTAAGTATACGCACCAACAGCGGATAAGGATGGAGAGAAGATAAAACATTTTTACATGTAGTTAGACACAATTTTAAGATCTATTAAAAAAGAAGACATTACAATAGTAATGGGGGAATAGGTAAAGAAATAATAATAAGACTTACTCACAATCAATTTAATTTAACAATCTGACGACCGGTTTCGCTTTCTATAATTTGCAAAGCATCTTCAGGTCGAGATACAAAGTTAAACTAATGCTGCAATAAAATAAACCCAATTAGGGTGGTGTCTCATAAAGATAAAATAAACAAATAAATAAATTAGTTCATACAAATTATAGTAATTATGCCAATATTACATGTCTGTGGTTTTCAAAATGAATAATTTGAATATATAAAGGGTATTAACAGACAAGGTAAGGCCCACAATTGGTATAAAGTAGCAATCTTATGTTGTAATAAATTAATAAATGAGCAAATAAATAAAACAAAACAAAACAAACATTACTTACATGCCGGTACTCTATTAATTGATGGATGGTAGGTCATGGTTGCAAAAATCATGTATTGTTGATTGGAGAACTTTAATGTGCTATTGCAGTTGTTTTGACAATAAACGGGAAGTTCTTGAGGAGAACAGATTTGATCCAATGAATTAGAGATAGGTATATTGTTGTTGTTTGTCAGATGAAAGTGATGTTCTTTACTATTGTATTATTTAAATTATTTACACTTATATCAGAGATATATTTTTTTTTTATATTTTTGTATTTTTATATTTTATATTTTTATAATTTAAATAATACAATAGTAAAGAACATCACTTTCATCTGACAAACAACAACAATATACCTATCTCTAATTCATTGGATCAAATCTGTTCTCCTCAAGAACTTCCCGTTTATTGTCAAAACAACTGCAATAGCACATTAAAGTTCTCCAATCAACAATACATGATTTTTGCAACCATGACCTACCATCCATCAATTAATAGAGTACCGGCATGTAAGTAATGTTTGTTTTGTTTTGTTTTATTTATTTGCTCATTTATTAATTTATTACAACATAAGATTGCTACTTTATACCAATTGTGGGCCTTACTTTGTCTGTTAATACCCTTTATATATTCAAATTATTCATTTTGAAAACCACAGACATGTAATATTGGCATAATTACTATAATTTGTATGAACTAATTTATTTATTTGTTTATTTTATCTTTATGAGACACCACCCTAATTGGGTTTATTTTATTGCAGCATTAGTTTAACTTTGTATCTCGATCTGAAGATGCTTTGCAAATTATAGAAAGCGAAACCGGTCGTCAGATTGTTAAATTAAATTGATTGTGAGTAAGTCTTATTATTATTTCTTTACCTATTTGATATGGACTCACACAAGCAACACATTCATGATTTGAGTAATGGGGGACTTTAATGCTAAAGTCGGGAGAGGAAAAGTTGACAAATGTGTTGGGGAATGTGGACTAGGTGACAGAAACGAAAGAGGGGATAGACTTGTATATTTTTATCAAAATGAACATTTTGCAATAGTGAACACAATGTTCCAACTACCCAGTAGAAGATTGTACACTTGGAGATCTCCTGCAGACAACAAAGACCGCATAGTCAGAAATCAAATAGACTATATAGTAGTCAAAAATAGATAAAATAGATAGCTAGAATCCACGTGAAACTCAAAAAGATTGTAATACCTAAAAATAAACCAACGTTTGACTACACAAAATTAAAAAAAGAGAAATACATCAAAAAGTGTTCCAACAAGTTAACTCAAATCTAACAGAAGTGGGAGAAGAAATCTTAACATCAGAAGATCTCAATGAAAAGTGGAGCAATATTCAGGAGGCCTTATTAAAGGTTGTAGAAGAAAATTTATAGCCTGAAAAGACAAATAAGAAAGAGAAGTGGATGACTTCAGAAATTCTAGCATTAATGGAAGAGGGGAGAAAAGCCAAAGGAAGAAATGAGCCAAAATATGAAGAACTACAAAGTAGAATTAAAATAGGGATAAAAAGGTCAAGGAAAAGTGGTTAACAGATCAATGCATAGAAATAGAAGGATATGACAGAAAATGCGACGGCTTTAATATGCATAAAAAAATAAAAGAACTAACAAATACCAAAAAGCGAGCACACTATGGGATACTCAAAGATGATAATGGTAAACTCATTGGAGACATCAAAGATAAACTAAGATTTTGGCAAGAATACATAAGGAAACTATTCGACGATGATAGAATGATACAAGAAGAACCACAGGAACAAACAGGACCGAAAATAATAATGTGCGAATTAGAACAGGCAATTAGAGATGCAAATACCTCAAAATCAGTAGGCTCAGATCAGATACCCACTGAGCTAATTAAATGCATTGACGAAGAAACACTGTGAACTTATAGATCTGTTCAACAAAGTATATACAACAGGAGTAATATCCCAAGATTGGTTGCTGTACACGTTTCCAACACTACCAAAGTCAGTATATGCGACAGAATGCTCCCAGTAAGGAACAATTTCCTTAATAAGCCACACACTTAATATATTTCTCAAAATAATACATGGAAGACTGTACAAAAAAAAAAGAAGAAAGATATAGATGACACCCAGTTTGGATTCAGAGAAGGACTAGGAACGAGAGAGGCTCTGTTCACTTTTAACGTTCTCGCGCAATGACGACTAGATATGAACCAGGGTCTCTATCTCTACTTTATAGATTATCAAAAGGCTTTTGATAGAGTACGACATCAGAAACTCGTAAAACTGTTAAAAGAAAATAATGTGGATAGTCGAGATATACGGGTTATTGTCAATCTGTACTGAAATCAAAAAACAAAGGTTAAAATCGAAAATGTCGATACAGAAACAATAGACATCAAAAGAGGTGTTAGACAAGGTTGCGTGCTGTCCCCATTGCTATTAAATCTGTACAGCAAAGCTATTTTTAAGGAAGTAATATCAGAGGAACAACAGGGTATATCAATAAACGGAAAAATCTTAAACAACATAAGATTCGCAGACGACACCGCTGTTTTGCAGACAGTCTAGAAGCATTGCAACGCTTAGTAAAGAGATTACATTAAGTCAGTATGAAATATGGACTACAAATGACCGTTAAGAAAACCAAGTTCATGATTATTTGTAAGCAACATACAGTAGGAAGGCTAGATATCGAGGAAAAACAAGTAGAAAAAAACCTGGGTAAATGAAAACAATGATCAAGGCAGAGAAATAAGGACAAGCATTTATAAAAATGAAAACAATGTTTGTCAATCGAGACCTTCCTCTGCATCTGAGGATAAGAGCCTTAAGATGCTACGTGTTCTCGACTTTGTTGTATGGAATCGAAAGCTGGACACTAAAAGCGGATAATATAAAGAAGTTGGAATCATTTGAGATGTGGTGCTACAGAAGGATTTTGAAAATATCATGGACCCAACGAGTTAGAAATTCAAAAGTATTAAGAAGGCTACAAAAGAACTGCGAGGGCATAAAGTACATCAAAAAAAAAGAAAGCTAGAATTTTTAGGCCACATTACCAGAGGTGCGAAATATGAGATATTAAGGCTCATAATGCAAGGTGAAATCAAGGGTAAAAGATCCATAGGAAGACGAAGAATTTCCTGGCTGAGAAACCTAAGAGAGTGGTATAGTTGCAGCTCAGTAGATATTTTTAGAGCAGCCGCCAAGAAGGTACGGATAGCTGTGATGATAGCCAACGTCCGATAGGAGAAGGAACTACAACAAGAAGAAGCTGCCAAAATTCGGAAAAATTTCAACAGTTTACTCTATAAAATATATAAAAGACCGGTTTTATTCATGTATAAAGCAGTCTCTATTGATGAATGAATATTAAACACTTTTAGAAATAAATA